GCCGATCAATCAATCAATCATTTTCACTCAGATGTCGATGTTTGGATTGAGTTGGATGGGATCCCAGTCCGCCAGGCCTGGTCCGCCTGCCCTATGGACTTCAGATGGCCATAACCCGAATTCCCCCACCCAGGCCAGCTTCTAGGCCAACTTACATAGCCTTGTCTGGGCCACAGTGCAATTAAATAAACGAAAGTTTTTCATTAATTTCGATTGCAGACGGCCACTACGACTACCACGACGACACTTAGAGCAGCTCTAACTCTAGCTCTAACTCCGGCCCGGCTTCTTCCCCCGATCTTTAAACAATTCCAATTCATTAGCCACGCTTTGGCTGGGCTTTTGGGCCCGCTCGTCAACTTGAGATGGCCGAGAGTGGAGCCAGTTTTCGATGGACCTGGTCTGAGTCTGGGAGCTGGCCGTGCTTGTGGTCGTCATCTTGGTCCAAGACTAGCTGGAGCTGCTGAAGCTGGAGTGGGGCGTGCTCTCGTGCTGCTCATAAATGTCTGATGGATGTGACGTGCCTTGATGTATTTCACTTTTCTTCGCCGCTTTTCCTAGACTTGGCTCAACGAAAAAAAAAAAAACCTGGAGTTGTTAAGTGCCAGCACATACTCGCGCTGCCGCCAGCCGCCTATTGCCCAACAACAACAAGAGCAACAAATAGTTGTTTGTTATTTTTCTAGTTTCAGAAATTTTCACATTACTATAAAGCAAAGAGAGCCCCGAGAGCTTGAGGTGAAAATAGAAAAATCGCTTGGCAAATGAAAAGCGCGAAAAACGCGCGTAGCGAACAAAGCAAACGAACCGCTCTAGCCCCCGTCAGTCTCCTCTTGGGTCAATACTGAATCAAGGGATCTGGGTAAGGGTATACCATAGGTAATTGGAAAAATAACATTTTCCAAAAAAAGGGTATTTTGGATTCCTAACTCAAATACGCATACTAAAATACTTTATCTTCATACTAACAATTTCATTGCTTCATCTTTATCTTTCTTTTGAAGTTTTTGTTTCCATTTTTCATGAATTTTAAAAATTATATAGTAGTAACATTTTGAAGATACATATAAGGGTCTAATTTATGAGGGAGCATGGTATTCGATATTAAGATTTATGGCTTCATGTATCAATAATGTATCAACATTATTATTTATAAAACGACCTTTAGAACACTAAGGACGTCTTTTAGACAGAATCGTGCCCTTAAACCTTTTTAATAATTAAATATGAGTTTTATATTCAAATATTTTTGCTCAAAAAAGAGCACTTGATATTCGATGCTGGAACTTTGTGGTCCTCGGCTTTCGTTTTGGTGTTTGCAAATCCATTTGTCGTCTTATCCGTCATAAGCTCTCAATCGCAGCTCAGAGCTTAGGCCCGACTTGGGCAGCTCCGAAAAGGGAAAGTACAAATCGCACTTTTCCTAGGCACTTAGGGATCGCCATGGGCACTGTCACATCTGCAAATGCACCAAGTTTCTGGGGGATAAGGATGCAACACAAACCCAACCCAAAAAGCGACTTTGGGGAAACCCAACCCAGTCCATAAAAACTCATCCCAAGTTCAAAGTGATTCATTTTGATTCACTTTCGCTTTCGGTGCGTTCGAAATTTAATTTCTTCGCTTTGTCTCGGCTATTTTTTGGCTGGGCCCAGTTGCTAAAAAATTAATAGCTTTTTGTCTCGGTAAATACGCGCATATATGCTGCTATATGTACCCGCCTGCTGGAGCGCTCGGCGACACACATTCTGTGTCTATATATCATGTACAATACACACACCATATGTACCCATGGTTGGGGGAAAGCTGGCTGCCTCCACTGCGTCCGACTGCGACTCTTTGGCCCCCAAGATTGCGTTGCAATTAATCATCGGACAAAACGCATTGTTCGCGTTCCCCCCCAAAGTATAGAAGATGGGATCTGTGGTGGGGAGGGACCGGGATCTGAAAGGGGAGGGGTTTGGGATCTTGGGCCACAAGCCGCGGGCCTGTCACGCACCGCTCTCGCCCAGAACTGCCCACTCCTCGGACTCCAGCTCCAGCTCCAGCTCCAGCGCGCTGCTCCCGAATATTTAAGTCGGCCATCGGCGCTTGTCCAGTGAGTTTTTTCATCGCCCGGTTCCTCCTTCCTGCTCTGGCGGCTCCCTCGTTTTCGCATAGTTTTCTTGACCCAATTTCCCCAGGAATATAAGGTAAAAAGAATTCTTATTGCCAAGAATTTTCCGCTATAGTTATATAATCTCTTAAGAAGCTTAAGATGAAACTATGGCACATGCATACTTTGTTGCTTCGAGCCAAGAAAAGTGGTTCAAGTTTTAATTATTTTCTTTTTATTTTATTATAATTTTTCACTGTATAATAAACTTGGTTTCAATGCATGTATAAGATACACACCTTATATCGTATATATATCCTGTATATATGTATATACATACACATATATATATTCTCATAATGTATGCATGTTGGTATGCGTAAGCGCGTATAAATTAATCGTAATCATTATAGTACTTATGCAGATCATACATTATCTACATGGTTGCTTCTCAGTTTATGTCTGTTAGTCCTCAATTAACATACGTACACGTATATATGTATGCTTTTAGTTCGATCTTGAATCGATTCAAAAATCAGCTTAGTCATTATTATCATTATCATAATATTATTATTAATAATTAAAACTGTGCGAAATCCGCAGTTTTGCCTATCAAAAATTACACCTAATCAAATTTTCAATTATAATTGGGGTCTGGGTAGTACTTGGGAACAGGGTTCGGGCTTCTCTTCTCTCTCTACAATACAAAAAACAACTCAAGTTGCTCGACTTGATCTATGATCTGACTGGATATATCCCTCGCCTACTCTTCATCTCTTCACATATATATTAATATATATAATGTATATATATAGTCATGTTTTAAACCATTTTGTTTTATTATTTTGCATTAGAACACATTGTAGTTTGCAGTTCGTGTATGTGAGTCTGTGAAATCAAAAGATTCTTTACACAAAAATCAGTAAACTTAGACTTTTATTTCTGTATTTCTGTAGTATTCGTCCTACTGAAAATGCTTCGATTTTGGGACACTAGAGATGCTTCACTAAGGCTAGTACTCAATTACTATCAGCTATAAGATCTGATAAGTTATCTAAATATTTGCTATAGGTCTCTAGCTTGTTTCCCGTTTTTTGGGAGGCTGACTCGCTGCCTAGGGAGAGTCTCGTTAAAAAGTGGTGTTTGGGTCGGTTGAAGTCGTTCCTTGGTTAGTATGTCTAGTAAGCCATGCTTATGAGGGTTCTATATTTTGTCTATATATTGCTTGATCGATCTGAGATTGATATTGGCTAGCCTAGATGTCAGCCATAAGCTTGGCGAGCAGCAAGCTGTAATAAGGGTCTTCAAGCGTTTTCAAGGATATATCGATATCGATTCAATCGGCGCCTTCTGATATCTCTCGATGGCTTGATCTGCCTCAGCTAGTTACTCGTAGTTCCTTTCTAGTTACGATTTGGAATCATCACAAGTCCAAAACTCCTCTAACGCAGCCAAATACTTGGCTAAAACTTTTGGTTCTTCTCCGCCTAACTGTGCCGCATCTTTGGCATTTAAATCGTTTCTATATCGCTTCATTTTCATTTTCGATTTCTTGTTTATTATTTTGTTTATCGATTGATAGTTAGATTTTGTTTAACATTTAGAAGAGAGATTATGCTTTCGTTTTTGTTTTTTGTTTCTTTTGAAATGCACGAACTTGATTTTATTTCATAATTTTTATTTACAAATATTATGTTGGTTTTTTTCTTTGTTTTTTTCTCGAAATATAAAATAACTTTTTTTTTTTTTGTGTATTTTATTCATTTTGTTTTTATTGCGCATATAAAAATATCAAAAATTCTTTATTCTTTTTAGGTTTTTCGGTTTATATAATTTTCTTTTAATTCTTCCTCGTGGAACTATGTGTAAGTCTGTTGTGGTTGTTTTATATATATATTTTTAAATATATATTTGCCTGACTTGCTCTAAGTATACAAAACTTGTTATGAACTTTCAATGCCAAAAATTAAATGACAAAGTTAAAATTTTTTTCTTGTCTCAAAGGTTACACCTTCTCCGTGGCCTATCCACCTGACGCTTTTCATTTTTTATTTTTTTTTTTTGTTTAATTTTTAAAAGTTTTTTTTTCGCATTTTATATAAATATGTACAAATATATTTTCCGTATAAAATTATAATAAAAAAAATGGCGTCAATTTGAATTATATTTTCTGTTAGTGTTTTTTGAAATATTCCTCTGCCTTTTTCTATTTAAAAGTCATAATTCAGATCTTTCAAACTATTGGCGCCTGAACTCTAGTTTAGATTTTCGGAAGCTTATCATTAACTATTAGTTTGTTTCGGTTGTTGTTGTTGTGGTTTTGCATAAAGCACAGCACATTAGAGGCAATTTTAACATTATGTATAACTCGTAAATATTTCCGTTTCATTTCGCTTCTTTGGAGTATAAATAATGTATATATATACGAGTGTGTGGGAGGGAGGGGAGTTGCTGAGTGTGTATTTCGATTTGTTGCTGTTCAGTTAACTTAACTTCATGCTCGCTATATGCTAAGTATCTGTGTGTGAGTGCTGTCTGCGTGTTCGTGGGTTTTTTTTGCTCTGGATGATCGATCTGATTAGGCGACCCGCGACGATGCGTTCATCAAAACGATATTAAGATGCCGGCCAGTTCTGGCAACACCAACCAACGCATCGAACTCATCGCTTCCCAGTCGCTTGAATAAAGAGTTTACTTGCGTTTAAAATTAACTAATCACTTCAAGCTCGATGCCCAAAGTGTTGTATTTAAATGTACATACAATTATGTGTGTATATATGTGTATAATCATATGTAGTAAATTATTTTCCTCGGCTTCGGCTTCTGCTTCGGCGTCAAATGCCCTTTCGTTCAACGTATGTATGTACGTACACCCAGCTCTCTCTAAACGTCATGAAAAAATAAGTTACTATCAAATGAATTCTCTTATATTGGTGTGTGTATATAGTATAACTTAGCAAGAAAACCCTTCACTTGCCTTCGTTATCATCATATAATTATTATTTAATATTTTCTTGCTTTTTGTTTTCTTTTGCCCATTTCTATATGTTATAGGTATAGTATAGTTATAGGTGATGAAGCAGAACATGATGTGTGTGCTTGTAAAAGTTTGTAAACTTGTTCTATTGCATCGATGCGAGACTTGTGGAAGTACTAATGTGCGACGCGGTGCCCAACGTGGAGGCCATGTCTCCTTGGTAGCTGAACTGTTGTGGCAGAAACAGAAAATGTTTGAGAAATGGTGCTTCCTTTTTTAAAATCCCTATCCTTACCTGCGGAAATAGCGGCTCTTCTGCTATGGAACCCAGCGGCCCTGTAGGATCCGGCGGCGTCAGTTCCACACTCTCGCCCGTAAACTCTTTGTCGAAGTACCTTGTATCCGTATCGGATGTCACTTGAGGCTTGAAAGGCGGTTCAATCTGTAGAAATAATTGTTAAAAATTTGCTTACGGGGTTTATATTTTTACAAATACCTTCTTCTGGACCAGATCTGTCCAGTTAATACTCGCAAAGAAGGGATGTGCTTGAATCTCCTTGACATCATCCTTGCCACCGCCCAAACGCTTCTTTGGATCCTTGGCTAGCAGACCGGCAAGCAGGTTCCTCGCCTCATCTGTGATATTGCGGGGGAATTTGACCTCTTCCACTAGGATTAGCGTAAAAAGCACATCATGATCACGATTGTAAAACGGAAGACGTCCACAAATCTGAAAAATATATACAAAATTGTTATCAATATTATTCAGAGGCCTTGGTGATGAGTAATCCAGCGTACCATCTCGTACATGACCACGCCAGTGCCCCACCAGTCGACTGCCTGGCCATAGTCATTATCGTCTAATACTTCCGGCGCTAGGTATTCTGGAGTGCCGCAGAAGGTTTTCGTTGTACGGCCGTAGGTGATGTCCTCTTTACACAGACCGAAGTCGGCGACCTTGATGTGGCCATCTTTGTCCAGCAAAAGATTCTCCAGCTTCAAGTCGCGGTAAATGATGCCCTGTGAATGAAGATAGCCAAGGGCCGAAATGATTTCAGCTCCATAAAAGCGGGTGCGGTCCTCGGTGAAGATCCTCTCGTGGCTAAGATGCCAGAAGAGCTCGCCTCCGTTCACATACTGCATTACGAAGCACAGGCGGTCGTTGGTTTGAAACGAATATTTAAGTGACTGCGGAAACAGAACCGATCAGGTGAGTTAATGTTCAAAATCTTATTCTTAAATGGCTGCTTACAATGAGGAACGGATGGTTTGTGGATTTGAGTACACGACTTTCGGTCAGGGTATGCGCCACCTCGTCCTTCTGGATGATGACCTCCTTTTTGAGAATTTTGATCGCGTACAGCTTGGCAGTGGCTTTCTCGCGACACAGGATAACCTTACCGAAGGTGCCCTTGCCGAGCACCTTGAGGAACTCAAAGTTTTCCAGTGTCTGTAAAGAGATAAGAGATTAGATCGATTACGCACATATGTCGGCCAATGCCGGACCACAATTTGTTGGGAATACGCACCACTTTCTTAATGCCGCTGCTGTTGCAGGTGGTACCTTGCACGGAGAATTGCTCAGAGAGCTCCACCTCGGCAATACCAGCCATGTCCACGTCAGCCATGTCTGTCTGCACCGACGGCGACATGGCCATTTCGCCCATCTCGATTAGCCGACTGGAGACATTGCGGATGGCCTCCGTCCACTGCTGACGCTCTAGTTCCGTGTCCACTGCGAACGTTCGCTCGATCACAGAGGTCCACTGAAGGCCGCGGATGATAAAGGTGAAAGGCTTCGGCCGATCCACTGACATAATCTGACAGCCGCGCACTGTAAAGTTGTTGAGCTGCTCCGACGTCGTGCTGGAGCTGTCGTTCGGTTTACTGCGGTATCCCATCAGTGCTCCGTCGGAGTGGAGCTTAAAGTAGCGTTGCCGCCAGGTCTTTATGTGCTCGCCCCGCTTCAACAGCCATCCCTCTTTTACCACCGTAGGCAGGGCGGTCAGGGAGTGGTCCATGCTCATGCTGCCTGTGTCTGTTTCTTGCCAGGATCCCTGGCTCCGGGAGTGGTTATCGCCGCTGTAGCCGCTGCTGCTTTGGCTGATATTTTTGATGTTGATGCTGTTGCTGCTTCTGCTGGTGATGGTATTGGAGGTGATCAGGGGCGAGTCCGGGAGCCGGGTGGCTGATCCTGGCTCTGAGGCGCTGGCAACCACAGTCGATCGCCGCTGCAGGGTAAGTAACGGTAAGTAATTCGTGTTGAGGCTGTTCCGGTAACTCTGGGATAATCAAAATTCAGTGCCTGTAAGCAAAACAATCAAAGAGGCGCCATTAGACAGGGTCAACTATCGAGTTTGCTGCCCCAATAGCGCTTATCTCACGCTGCTTGACTGATAGCCGTCCGTCTTTGGCTTCGACTATGGCACGGGTATGGGCACGAGTACGGATACGGGTACGGGCACGGGTACGGGTAGGGCATGTGTGTAAACAATTGGTATTGTCATTTTGCATGTTTATGGCAATTCTGCTATGAATTTCGAAACTGACGCTTGCGTCAGCAGCTGCAATGACTTCCAAATGCAGCTGGTTCGACAAAAGTCTGGGATTCGGTTCGAGCAAAAGCAAAACATTCGCGGCATTTCCGCTTGCCGCAAAAGCAAAAGGGATTGGGCACTGCCTCTTAGTCACTGCCCCACTTCCACATCCACATTGACGTCCATATCCACATCCACATCCAAATCCACAACCACAATCACATGCAGACGTAGGCGCCAGGCGATGGTACTTTCGGCTTCAAACGAAATTCCCAGCCATGTTACGCAGCGATACCGAGCGCAAATTGTTCGCGATTGCATTTAGCGCGAAATTAAATCAAAACAAGTCGACAGGCGGCGACTGTTCATGAACTTATACATATAGACCTGTACACTGGCACTGTCGCACTGGGCAGAGCAGCACGGCACACCACACCACACCATAGCACACCATAGCACACCACACAGCTGCAAAAGCATATTCATTTACAATTTGCGAAAATGTCAACGACGGGGGACGGATGGCCGCCGGCTGTACAAATTTCGCTATCTAAAACTGTAAACAAATGTACATAAAATAAAAATCGACAAAATACACGCACACACACACACACACAAACATACATACATATGTGGACATGCGGACGACACGCACACATACGCTGGCAGACAGACATGGCTGCATTGCAAAGTGCGAGGCCAGACTGTTGGGGGAGGGGGTGGCGCAGGGGTGGGGGGTAGGAGGACAGACAGTACGCGTGTCTGCCACAACATAAAGGTGTGTGCGTGCATGTATGCTCGAGTGTTGGTTTATTTGTGTCTGTGTGTGGGCAGCGAGCAGCGCAACATGTCAAATCACGTCGTGGAAATGGAGAATTAGACATGGAAAAACGGAAAAGCTGGGAAATCTCGGGAAAACTGGGGAACCACTTCTTTACCCACCTAGTTGGGCGAGAAGAACGAAAGCGACTTTTGCTGTTTGTTTTTCTGCTAGTTTTGGTCTTTTGGTGACGGTGACGGCAGCGACAACGTCACGGGCCTTATTATTGTGCGTGTTGTTGTTGCTGCTGTTTCTGTTGTTTTTGTTGTTGCTGCTGCTGCTGCCGTATTTGTTGTTGTTGTCGTGTTAAGGTGCCAGACACCAGAGGACGGATCGGAACGGAGCAGTCCACACACACTCACACACATACACAGAACAGACAGACACCCGCTCGCAAACACACGAATATTCTGTCCGCGAACGCCTCCCGGGCGTTGGTTAATCAGTGCTTAAGCTTTTCCAACGCGGCGGTGCACCAAATGCAAATTTCTAAACTTATTTTTCATAAACACAAACGCACACAGGCACAATAAATTTTCCATGTACCGTTTAGTTTTTTACGCTTCACTTTTTTTCGATAACCAGTGTTGCCAGATAATCGAATCATCCATACATCGAAACCCACTAAAAAATCCAACATCCACTTAATTTAAAAATTTGTTAAATTTAAAAATAACACAACTAAAATGATTGACACTGCTTTGTTAGACTTAATCAACTATTATTGACTTAATTAAGCGACATATCAACAAACTGTTGAGATTATAAGTACTTTTTTAACTTTGGTATCTTTTTTAGTATCAAACACGATGTTTAAATGTAACATTTTCTCGGATAGATTTACTCATACAAAACTTAAATTAATTTTTTAGTAAGAACAACAAGATATGTTTTTATTTGCATATGGGATTTACGCTTCCGGCTTCCTGCTCTTTCAAAAATACCGGACAAAGAAAATACTACACGTCGGGCAACACTATTTTGAACCGGGTAATCTAACGAGGGATGGAAAATATACCGAAGGAAGGTAAAAGCAGAGAAAGATTACCAAACGAAGAGGACTTTGAAAATACCAGAAATATTTACGGACAGATGATGGAACGAACGAGGGAAATGGGGTATTGTTCAAAACCAATTGGTAAAGTTTTTTATTTTATTCCCCGAAAAAGCATAAACAAGTGTGAACCAAACGCAAATTAATTAATAAAAATAGTTGCCAACTGCTATCGACTAAAAAAGTGGTCAAAGAAAGTGAGGGAGCATAGATGTTCTAAGCCAAAAGTTCGTGAAAGTGAGTGTGTATCACTGTGGGCTGTGGTCCGCAGCGGTGCATTGCCGAATATTTGCAATTGGAGTAACATAAGCAATGAGGCGAGTGCATTCAATTAGCAGGAAAAGCAAAGTCGCTTCGATCGTGAAAAAAGCAGGAAAAGGCAGAGTCTGAGGCAATCAATACAAAGGCAGCTACGGGCCCCTTTCGCGAGCGTGTGTGCGTGTGGCGTGAAAACAAAACAAAGTGTGTGGCAGAAGTGGAAAAGAAAGCGCATAATTGAATAAATAATAACAGAAACAGGGCAAATGGCAACGACTCAATGGCAAAAGCAAAGCCGCCACCGCAGCAAAAGACAATTCATGCATATGCGAAGAAAATATTCCAAGCTTTGGCTATTGTTTATGTGATTTGCAAATATGCACAAACACAGCTGCAGTCTGCCAGATAACTGTTGTTGACCACAGGGGCGTACGCCAGATTTTTTATCAGGGGGTTCCCAGTGATTGCAGTGCAATGAAGCCTGTATAAGCTGCATACTTGGTTTTTCCAATAAAAGTGAAAATCCAGGTGGTCCATTCGATCCCCCTGGGAAAACGCCGTCTCTGGCTGTGCGGGTGCATTGCTCGCCAGGGTTGGCCAAGTGAGGGGAACAGAGATAGCCATAGTCGAAGAGAGAATAGGGAAGAGAGAGAGCAGTGCAAATCGAATTAGTCCAGACTTTTGGTCACGCCCTTGAACTTTATTTTAACCCACGACCACCCACTCCCTACTACCCACAGCTAGCACCTAAGGACCCAACATCCACACAAACACCACACAAGATGTTCAACTTTATGAAGAAGAGCGCCGGCGACGACGACAAGGAGCGCCGCAAGCGCGAGAAGAAGCTGCGCAAAGAGGCTAAGGGCACCAGCTCCGGCAGCGGTATCGGAGGCGTTGGCGGCGTCACCGGCAGCATGAGCACCGACGAGTTGCTCCGCCTGGACGAGGTGCGCCGCTCGCTCAAGATCCGCGGCCGGCGCAAGGAGAAGGAGAAGCTACCCAGTGGCATTACGGCGGATTATAGTGCTGATTTCTTTGCCGCCCTGAATGCGGATTCTAGCGCCAACGGCAGTAATGGAGGAGCTTCGACTGGAGGTCCCGAACAGGATCGTGGCAATGAGGAGATTGTAGCATCTGTGATGACCCACATCGAGAGCCGTTCGTCCAACGGCGCCGGCGTGAGTGTCAACTACAGTGAGGTCACACATTCCCTGCTGGCCGGCGGCAAGGTAAGTTCAGAGATTCTCCTAGAAACAATCAGACCACTTATTACTTTCCTCCTTAGAATCGCTTTTTACCGCCTGTGCCGCCGAAGCCGCCTAAGCGCGGAATTCTAAAGGGATCCCGTAGTAACATGACCAATGTACACGAGGAAATCACCTTTACGGGTGGCGGAGGAACCCCGGAGATGCTCGTGCGCAATACCATGCAGAACGAACTGCTGGCAGCTGGCTCAATTGGCTCGAATTCCAGCCAGCATGGCACCTCCTTCACCTCCGTGGAGAGCCTCCGCAGCGACGGCGAGCAGCCGGGCGTCCACCAACGGGCCATGACCCTGCCGGCAAACGCTCGCTATGGAGCTGCTCCGCAAGCTACCAGCCATCTGCATGTGCTCACCTCGCCGTCACCCAGCGCCGATAGTCTCACAGATACCACAAACTCCTCGTTCGCCACGCCACCCTTCTCCCTGAGCCCAGTCGGCGAGTCTCAGGGAATCGATCGCTGGGCACGCGTTCATGCTTTCGAGGATGTGGAGCTGCCGCTGCCGCCAGTGCAACTGGTGCAGCTACCACCACCCAGACAGCTGATCATCCGACGACAGAAGTCGCCGAGACAAGATTTCGGCTTTAGTCTACGAAAGGCCATATGTTTGGATAGAACCGAGTCCCTGATGTCGCCCATCTTTAGGCCGGTGATTTTCGCCGAGCCTGGTGCTGGAGGTGGAGCTACTGGGCTTCTGCCCGGCGACCGCCTCATTAAGGTGAACGGCACTTCAGTGGGGGAGTTGTCACGTGAAATAATTATAGAAATGATACGAAACAGCGGTGATGCCGTCACTGTAGAGGTATATTTTAAGCTTCTATTCTCGAATTTTGATATCTAATGATATTGTTTTTTGTGCAGGTCCAACCAGTGGCCGAGTTGGTGGAGCTTAGCAAGCGCTGTATGGCACCCAGTACAGCCACCGTGGAGGAGATCGATCATTCCATTACCAACGACAACTGCAACACCCTCCGGCGCAGTGCCAGCAAGCGTTTCAAACGTCAGGTGAGTCGGGATGCCTTCCATTAGTGGATCAAGCTCACACCTGTGATTGATGGAGCTACCAGCTAGTCATCCTAGCTTTGCAACGAATAGCCCCCGGGGCTTTGCTTGCATAACAACATTATCCATTAGTATGTATCGGACTGTGATCAATTATGAGAAGCTCTCAGGTGCAGCTCAGGGATCATTAATGATTTCAAGAATTCTCATCCAAGATTAGAATACTCTGTAGTACTATTCTGTAGTATATATCTTTCAATCGCCCCTGAAAACCATTTGGAACGCTTTCTGTTTATAGTTTATTTTAGGTATTTCCGCTAGGGATTTCCTCCTTTAGGTTTTTGTAATTTTGCAAAAAATAATCCAAATTCTTGAATGATTCAGAAAAGTGTTTAAAAACAATTTTAAAATGTGGTTTGAATTATCTATTATTGTAGGCATTGTTCAGCATTGTGTCATGGTGCATGATGATTCTGTGAATCACCTTTATAAAGAGCATTCATCAGAGGCATATTTCCCATCCATCACATCGACTGCAATTCTTATTAACTTGTTAGCTTGGCTGGAAACGTGTTTGACATTTTCTCGGTGTGTTTATTTTGTACAAATATTTTGCAATATGGTCGTTGGATCTATGTACCTTGTGATCTATTCGACTATTCGGTGTATATCTATCTACAGCCTAGCCTGGACTGGCCCTTTCTATAAATATTTAGTTTTTTGGCCGGTTGGTGGGTGGGTATTACATGGAAGTGGGGTGGTGTTAAGGCGTTGACATAATTCAGCGACGTATCTATTTACATGCTTCCATTCAAGAAGACGAAAATAGCTGTAAAGCCATTTGGCAACACTGTGAAAAAACTCGAACTGCATTTGGTATGCACTTTATGCGTTTAGACTGCGCTGCTTCGGCCTCTGCATCAGCCTCAGCTCAGTCACTCGACAGCAACCCACTTCCAAGCATCTGAGAAAGACGACGACGATCCATGGATCTCCACGATCCATGAGTTCGCCTCTGGCCAAAGCACGACAAAGCCAGCAGAGACGTCTGCAGCGACTGAGACAGCGACTGCGACTGCGGCTGCGACTGCGGCTGCGTCTACGACTGCAGTAGTGTGTGCATTTCTACACCCACTTGGAGCTGCCTACACAAGCAGGCGAGCCGCCACAAACATGAAAGAATGTTGGAGGCCAAAGGTGCGACTAGGAGATACCTAGTATCTAGACTAGCACTCTGGTTTCTGCTTTTTTGTTAAATATGTTAAAGAATCTTTGAGATAAAATTATGGAATAAAAATCCTACTAGAAAGAGGAGTTTGGTTACAATTATAATGCCATAATATCACTTGAAGATAATGTATCTTTAAATAAAATTCAAGTATTGGGGATAATACGAAGTCTAACCAAGTTTCAGCTGATATATGCTATACTTTCCCAAGAGTTATCTTGGGTTAGTCCATATCTAGAACCTTTAAGATACATTTATTCTAGTGCTGATATCCCCCAATACTCCACCATAATCTCCAACCAGGGGCAGAGACTGAAGCAGCGGCATCGACGTCGACGCTTGCCTTCTGCCTGCGAGCGTGTGTTTCAGTCTGTGGCTCATTTTTTTTGTCGTCGTCTCGGCGTCTTGGGGCTTGTGTTGTTGTCTGTCGGTCCGCAGTCGCTGCGCTTGGAGCAGGGCCGTCAGTATGCTGAAAACTTCGCCCAGGTTCGGTACGGAAATCGAAATCGAGGAAAGACTGCGCGACGCCCACAGCCAACGATTCGATGTTGTTTACCATCGCGGAGTGGATTTTGATGTTTTTTGTGCGCCATGACGATTCTGGCTCCGGCTGTCATTCGGCTCTAGTGGCTCTAATTCATAACTCCTCGCGTTCGTGACTTGAGTCTCTTTTGCAGTGCAATCAATCAATCAGTTCGGCAATCGATCGATCGATGATTGGCCGTTTTCAGCTCCGCAATTGTCTAATGTCAAAGCGCTAAGTGCTCCGGCTCCGTCTCAGTCTCCGGCTCTGGCTCTGGCTCCGCATAAAGCTAACATTTCCAAGGTTCCGCGGGCGCTCCAGTTACCCAATCATCACCGTCGTCTACTTCCCGCTTTGCTTCAGACCTGGCTATTGTGTATCTTTGTATCTGAATCTGACTTTGTACCTAAGTGTATCTGTGTATCTGTTTGCTAATCCGCTCTGGTCATGCTCCGCGTGCTGGCCATGACAATTGTGTGTGCCCAGTGATCGCATAACAGCCATGTTCCTCAAGCCCAAGAGCTTCGAGCAGACCCTGCGCGGCGGCATCGTTCCGGCCGTCCCAGCTGCTCCCGGTTCGGGCCTAAATCCCTCCTTCCACAAGGGTTGCACGGGCAAGGCGCATGCCTGCGGCACGAACAAGTCTCAAAAGGCACCAGCCGCGGGAGGATCCACCTCTGGCTCCTCCAAAGCTGGCCGGGCCACTCCAAAGGCTCAGCGCAAGAATAGTATTAGTTCGGAGACGATCAGTGAGAGTGGCTCCGAAAATTCGACCAGCTGGCCCTCCTCCTCATCGGCAGCAGTTCCAGCCGTCGTTCCACCACCAAAGCCACCGCGTCTGGCAGCCACCAAAGCCAAGGAAGGGGCTTTAGGAGGTGCTTCTCCTAACGCCATACCCGTAACGCCTACCTTTGAACGGTCCACCAAGCGATCGCTCAGCTTCAGAAGCAGCGGAAGCAAGGCTTCCGGGGAGGGCAAGGCTTCGCCGGCTGGAGCCAACACCTCTATCCGTCCGCCGTGGAACAGTTCGGCTATAGCTGCCTCCAAGTTTGCTGCAGCCGCTGCCAGTGCCCCCCAGTCGCCGAATCCCAGTGCCAGAAGTTCGTTCCGACGACGTCGCGAAGCCCAGAACATTGGTATTCAATGGCCGGCCATTTGGGCCAGTTCCCTGGCCGCCAACTACAAAAACTACGACGCCAGTGTGAAGCAAAAGGTACACATAAAACTTACACTAATCAGCAAGATAATGGTTTTGTTTTTCAAGATTTGAGAAGATGAGTGTCCTTAGATACAGATACTTAGATCCTTAGATATAGTCCTTAGATACTTCCTTTAAAGTGGGCTTTTACTTGTAGGATTAGATAAGCTATGAGGTTTGTTGTCCAGTGTCCAAGTGCTCACTCTTACAGACAACGGAAACTTTCTAGTACTTCGCCCTGCCAGCCATCGATGGGATGCAATAAAGAAGCCAATGAATGAACGGGCCAAGAAACCAACAAACCGGCCAACTGGCGACCGAACAAAGACGGGAATCGATCGATAGATCGCCGAGCCATGACCCAATGTACGATTTAGATGTTAGACCTTTTATTATTATTATGCTCGGACGGTGCGTGGGCTGTGTGGGATCGAATGAACAACAGACCGAAGCGTTTACTCATAATTTACGGTATGGTCGCCACGGCATGGTATGGTCGTCGTCTTGTCGTTGCATTTATGGCTGGTATAACTTTATGGCTCAATACGCCCGCGGTGCGTCCGCGGAGCCAGCGAGCGGAAGTATTCATTTGGGTTTAAGTTCTTTAAACTTTTATTCGGGAAGGGGTGGGTGGATGGATACTGGCTCCGGTTCTGGAATCGCTGATATCTGCAGACGGTAGTAGTGCTTAGTCTATCCCATCCAGGTTAATTAGTCGGGTCCGTTGTGTCGCTATGTCGCTTCTTCGTCTAATTTGTGTGCTCGTCATCATCATCACCATCGCCAGCACAGTCTTCATCATCATTAACATCAACAGCTGCGGGTTCGATGACTCCGCCGTGCGTGGCGTGGAGTGGAGTGGAAAGGAGTGGAGTGCAGCATTGATTGACAGTGGACATGCGCCCGAGGAACTATTTTGTTTATCTTAATATTCCTCTAAACAAGTTCCACTCGATGGATGTGCTTACACAAGCTGTGAGCTGGGGAATTTTGCCCCAGTTGTAAACTACATGTATGTAAGCGGGTCCATCGTCACTCCAATGAATCAAATAACCAGACATAACTAGACGATTTTCCAGCTAAGTTCGTCTATGTTTTCCAAATTCTTCTCTCATTAAGGTGTTAAAAATATCAACCTAGTTTACATTAGTTATGAAAGTCATCTGCCCTGAAATATTTCCAAAACAAAACCAGTTTCTACATAAATTATAATAATAATAGATTATAGACTAGATGTTTTACACCTTTCCCTTAAAATCCCATTAAATCAGTATCAGAACTTCTCTTTCGAAAGCTTTCGAAAACCATTAAAATAAGTGTCTTCCCTCCTAATGAATGACTATATTCGTTGGCCTATCCGTTCCGGTTTTCCCCAAAACATATACGAAATTTAATTAGCCTCCCGGGACGCACACTTCTAATGGAGGGCTATTGAACCTTGCACAATATACCATACTATATTTTCATAATCCGAGCAGAGGAGGAGGCGGATTCGAGGAGGGGTGGATTCGGGGATGCAGCAGCCACGGTTAAATGCCATTTATAGCCACAAATGTGAACTGAACTGACGTCGCCGGCGACGACGTTGGTGGGTTGCATAATGGCGCATCCGCGCCGTCGTCGTCGTCGACGTACTCGTCGTGGTAGTCGTCGGTTTGGCTGTGTAGCCCAATAGCATTTGGCGGGTCTAGGCGGTTAATTAGGATTTAGAAACATCATCAAATTTAGAAATGCACCCGAAAATAAACCCGAAACTCTGCTGCCGTCGGCTGACTGCCGACTACACAGTATTGCGGCGTTGGAGTTGGGATAATAAATGGAATAAATGCGTGAAAATGTGCCCCGATCCACAATCCACGCCGAAAATAAACCCGCTGCAGCCACAGCCATCAGCGAGCTGGTGGTGCTTCAGTTGAAGTTGTGCCGACAAAATGTTGACCCCAATTTAACTCAATTTTCGTGTTTTGCTTTGTTTGTTTGCCATCTTTTCGCAGAGCCGCCATGAGAACGGCAACGGACTAGGCGGACTAGGAGGAGCCGGCGAGGGCGGCGCAGGAGGAGCGTCCCATGATCTGGAGGCGGACGTGGCAGATGGCAGCCAGCCGGAGCGTGTGTGGCTGGTGCATCGCGGCGGCTTCACTGCCGCCATTCGTCTGCCAACGGCCGCATCTGGACGGGACGAGGAGCAGCACAAGGTGAGCCTCCGCCTGATGCACAATGGGGAACAGCTGACCGTCGACGAGGACGATGTCGAGAAGCAGAACAGCCCGGCCCTGGATCTGGCCGAGGATATTTGCGAGCTGAAGTATCTGAACGAGGCGTCGGTGCTGCACTGCCTCCGCCAGCGATACGCCAGCAATCTCATCCACACCAAGGCGGGGCCCACGCTGCTCGTGGTCAATCCCATGGCCCCGCTTTCCCTCTACTCCGAAAAGGTAAGCTACCAACTGATCTGGTAACCGGTAACCGAGCGAGTTATTTATCTATCTCTTTGTGTGTGCCCCGTTTGTAGGTTGTCTCCATGTTCCGCGGCTGCAAGACGGAGGACATGCCGCCCCACGTCTACTCACTGGCCCAGACCGCCTACAGGAGTTTGGTTGAGACGCGGCGCGACCAGAGCTTGATATTCATGGGCCGGTCTGGCTCTGGCAAATCCACCAGTTTCAAGCATGCTCTCAACTACCTGGCGTTGGCAGCTGGTATGTCTAGAGTCTAGACTCTGGTTTTTAGGGGGCTCTGGGCTGCGTTTTCCGCATCTCATTGTCGCAGTAGCTGCTCCTACTCTCGTACTCACACCCATGCTCTCAAAATCAGTTTCAGTTGCCGTTTTCTGTTTTCTGTTTATTTTCCTTTTTTTCGCCTTTGGCTGGGGGCTTTTGGCCCAGTTTGTGCGGGCCACGCCAAAATGCAATCTGCGTTCGATTGGCTCATTTGCATTGTTGGCCAAGAAATGCAGCTGCAATTAGTCAAGCCTCCAGTTCGGGTTTCGGTTCCATTGTTAGATTTATGGCCCGAAATGGGGAGCAGACTAATGAAAATGTAAATTGTCGCGATACTGTTGATATTCAAATGGATTTGTGGAATTAATAAATATATTAGCAATAAAAGAAATACTATAAAATATAAAAGTCATCTGTAATACGAGTGTGAGCTTCAGGGAATTTGTATTTATATATTGAAGCTCATAAAAGTTATTCATTTGAATATTTTTCATACCTCATACATGGTATAATTTTTTACTTCTTTTAGCTTTTTTGATAATTTATTTATTTAAAAATATCTCTAGAGTCTAGACATTGTTTCAGTTTGTAAACAGAAACGGCAGCTGGGATTTCAAGTCATAATAAGCACAATAATAACAAGAATGAACTATATAAAGACCAATTAATTACATATATCTCTATCCTAGGAGCCTACAACAACTTCATCAATGCAGAGAAGGTCAACGCCCTCTGTACGATTCTGGAGGCCTTTGGCAATACAAAAACTTGTCTCAACTCCAACGCCACTCGTATGACGCAGCTGCTTAGCCTGGATTTCGACCAGACTGGCCAAATAGCATCCGCCTCGCTGCAGGTAAGCAATCTAGGCCCACTCTCTAATCTTTATTAATTTGCTTATCCTTTTTATCCTTTCAGGTCCTACTGCCAGAACGTCAGCGAGCTGGACGCCGTTTAGCCCACGAACATAGCTTCCATATTATGACGCGGCTCTTGGCTGGAGCCGCAGGCTTGTTGCAGAAGGAGCTGCATCTGGAAAACATCTCCTCGGAGGACAGTCATCCGTTCATTTCACTTTCGCAGAAGCTGGAGGATCGCCACAGAGCCGCCAATGATTTCATGCGCACTGTGGCTGCCTTTGAGACTCTAAACATTGATGCGAAGGCAGTGAGGGGCATCTGGAGCATTCTGGCAGCCATTTACCACCTCGGCATCGCGGGAGTCACAAAGCTGGGAGTGGGGTCGACGGCGCGCACTCAGTTCGCCAATCCCACGGCTGCCCGCAAGGCGGCTGGGCTGTTGGGCGTTAATCTGGAGGATCTGTCGTCGGCTGCCTTTGGTCTCACACAACCGAATGCGCCAAACGGCGGCCTGAGTCCCTCCAAGTCGCCCACCTCGGACACCGGACACGAGTGGGCCTGGGAGTGCCTGGAGGCGTTGGTCATTGGCCTGTACTCGGAGGCCTTGGCTGCAGTGGTCGCCTTGATTAATCGACAGATCTGCACCTCGGCCCACACCATAGCTTCGATAATGCTCATAGATACGCCTGGCTTCCAGAACCCCGCCAGTTGCGGCCAGCAGGTGGGCGCAACTCTGGCCGATTTGCGTCACAATTATTTGCAGGAGCGCCTACAGATGCTCTTCCATCACACCACCCTGGTGGCGCCGCGCGACAGGTACGCCCAGGAGCTGGTGGAGATCGAGATGGACCATGCCTCGGAGTGCCATCCGGGTCCGCTGATTTCGCTGATTGACAAGGCGCCCCAGAACCATGTGGTGCGTTCTTCGCAGCGAGACTTACGAGAGCACGATCGCCGGGGAATGCTATGGTAGGTGAATACTTGTTTGAAAAGGGTATTTTGTTAATGCTTTCCTTCTATAGGCTCCTTGATGAGGAGGCAATCTATCCAAACTCCAACGACGACACATTCCTTGAACGTTTGTTCTCGCACTACGGTGACCGGGAGCATCACACGCTGCTGCGCAAGTGCGCCGGTCCCCGCCAGTTTGTGCTCCACCATCTGCAGGGCACCAATCCCGTACTCTATGCCGTGGACGGCTGGGTTAGGAACAGTCGCGAGCATCCCGGCATTAGGAATGCGGTTTCCCTGCTGCAGGACAGCAGCCGGGAGGAGATCAACCGCCTCTACATAGGCTCTCTGACTCGTGGCTCGGGAGCAATGGTCTTCTGCGGCTCGTTTGCCGGGCTAGAGGGCACCCAGTCCCTGCGCCGAGTCTCCAGCATTCGCAGATCCTTCACCACAGCCGGCGTCAAGCGGAACTCGATCATGCTGCAGGTCAAGTTCACGGTGGATGGAATCATTGATACGCTGCGCCGCACAGGCACCCACTTTGTCCATTGCTACTTGCTGCAACACAATGCTGGGAAGCATGTTAAGTTCACGGCCAACGGATCCCCCAGCTCGGCGGCGGGTCAGGCCTCCAGCGAGGAGGAAATGGTCAATGTGCCACTACTAAGGAGTCAGGTGGGGTTTCTGTAATGGAATGAGTTAACTTATAGAGTCTAATATCGTATATTTATTTTGCAGCTACGTGGCTCGCAGGTTCTGGAGGCTGCTCGTCTGCATCGCCTGGGCTTCCCAGAGTCAGTGCCCCTATTGGAGTTTGTGCGTCGCTTTGGTCTCTTGGCCGGAGACTTGGCTAGCAACAAGGACGTGAGTGTGGAGCAGATACTGTCAGTCAATGAATTGGACGTAGCCAGTTACCGCATTGGACCTAGTCAGGTGAGTAACTATTCATGCTAGAACATAGTTAGTTTCTAAGCTGTTTCCTCCAACAATACTAAGCCTAATGCTTGGAAATATACGCCCTCCCTGCAAGTAGGAGTACACCGTCTGTCAAAACTCACTCATGTTCCCAATTTATTAGCCATGTGGAATTGAAAATGAGTATGTTTGATCGCACAAATAGTTGGAGTTAACTAGCACGCGTACTGCCAGACAAGGTTTCTGCGCAACTGGTTTGTCAAATATATTTATTTCTTAAATACATTTATATATATTTTCTGCCGCACGTTGGCTTTCTGTAATGAACCAGTTAGATTGGCGACTCTGGGTTTATTGCTCGCCCTCGGCAGAATGGGTTTTCGATCTCACGTTCCTAATAGATTAATCACAGTCACTGTGAGGAGCGAGTTCCCGGCTAATTGTTTCTTCTCACACGCGATTACCCGGTTAGTGGTTGACATTAAAGTTACTAGTAGTTTATGATGTTAAAAAGTAAATAGTTTGACACCCATTATTCACTCAATTGCTAACGCATTTTATTCACATTCTTTGGACGGCCTAATGCTAAAGCTTAAACATCTAGATAAATCACTTTTTGGTCTGCTGCCATATAATTTATTCGCCTTGGAGCTACCGGAGTCGCCGCCGCCGCTTCGCCGTCTCCCGAATGGTGGACGGTATCGGTGGTTGGATGTAGACTTGGCCGTCGCCGGAGCCGTACGGCATGCGCCGTCGCGTGCTCAGATAGAAGATACCTCGCCGGGGCATGGCCGGCTCGCCGCCCATGAACTCGTCGCCGGTGCAGGTTCGAGTGCCGCCGGGGCACCTGCAGCTGGCGGTGTGCACCGCCTTTGCAGATCCGCAACGGACTGCGGCGAACGACTTGGGACGCCGCACCGACTCGGCAAAGTAGAACATGGCCGCAAAGTGGTCGCACACAAAGTCGAACTCCGTGGCCGTGGCGTTGGGACAGTGCGGCTGGCCCAGGCCCCAGTTGGCGAAGAAGGAGGCCTGGCTGATCTTGGTGCTGGGGTTCCCCAGCAGCGTCAGATCCGTGTGTATGGACTCCACGTAAATGGCATCGTCGGGGGCCAGTCGGTCCTCAGGACCCAAGCTCAACTGAGTTAATCCTGCCGGATCCAGAGCGAATATGGCGCCCAGTCGCTGGGGCCTCATCAACTTCCCCGTCAGTCCGGAAATGTGGCTTCCCGCGCTGTGTCCCACCAGGTAGATCTGCTCGTAGGGCACTCCTGTGTTTTCGTGGAGGAACCTCAGCAACTTGGCCACATTGGCGGCTATCGCGGGCAACTGCTTGGAGACACGGGAGTAGACAATGTCCAGAGCCTGGCGACTCCAGTCCAGGATAATCACATTGAAATTCCCTCTCGACAAGTAGGCATCCTTAATGGCGGCATTGGAACAGCTGGTGCTCTTTCCAGCCCATCCGTGAATGGATACTCTGAGATAGATAATTAATTAAAGGTTCGATATTAAGAATTCATACTAATTTGTCAAACTTGATAGATTTGCAAGCCTATCTAAAACTAGTTTAGAAACGTGCCTAAATCTATCTTTAAAATAAAACTCATTCGAGATAGGACTTTGAAGAACTGCTTACCTCACAGGCCACTTTGGATTAAAGTGGGAGTTCTTCAGCATGCTGACATCCCCGGGACGCAAAAGTTGCCGCTCCTCGGGATTCAGGGGCGTGTACAGGTCGTACTGGAGCAGCTTGGACTGGGGCAGGCGAGGACGAGTTCCTAGGATAATGCCCAGCTCGGTATTGACCATGCCCTGGATGACATTTGATATGGACACCTCGCACTTGCCAGGAGCATAGGCGAAATACTGACCAGCCACAAAAGCTAAAAGAAATAGTAATTAAAGTCACTTGAAGATCGAATCGTGGAGATTGGAACTCACTTCCCGCTGGTCCGAGGAGCAAGAACCAGAATAATATATGCATTCCCGTTAACGATCCCATAAACCGCCACTTAAAGACGTCACTTAAATCCACTTAATTTCGGGTTTAAATAATTCTGTTGTTTTATTTCGAATTTTTGTGGATCGATTCGCAATCCAAATTTTATCGCACCACCGCTCACTAAAAAGAACGCGAATTTCTGAGCGGAGCGGTCACCTCCGAAGCGTTACAAGCTCTGAGCCGAAGTATTGCAAGATTCTAGACGGAGGCTTGGTTAAATAAAGGCCGCTGCGTTCTGCCGGCCGGTTGGTAGGTTGGCCGGTTGGCTGGCAGAGCAGCGGTCTCCCTGGCATGATGAACGACCATTAACAACTGGTTGGAGCGGCCACAGCTACTGCCACTACCACTGCCAGTGCCACTATCACTGCAACAGTCAACAAGTCATTGAGATCTCCGGTGGCAGATAGGCCTTATAGGGCCCTATTTTTGGGGCCAAGTGCAGGCAAACACTTGGTATCGATGAAGGGATGCCGACTAGAATACAAATCGATCCATTGATCGATCCACTAAAGCCATGCTAATTTTAGGCACAAATTTTAGCTAGTCATCTGGGCTTTCACCAGTTTTGTTTAATTTATTCATTTATGCGTCGATTATAAATGGTTTATATTCAATAATATAATGGACACGCATATCTTCGGGCCCATTTTACAGTTGCGGGTCAATAGTAGTTGCCATCGAGTTGGTTGATCTCTTGCCAGTTAGCTCTTACATAAGTCCGAAGTTTCATTAATATTAATTGGAAAATTGATCAAGCTGGAAGTCAATCAAATCACCTGTCGTTTCGAAAGGGATTATTACGGGTCGGCAGCCGATTAAACTCTAATAACTAAAAATATTAAACAAATGAAAATAATTGCTAGAAAACCAAGTCAACAAATAATTTCAATAAGTGATCTGTAACTGCAACTGGACCTGACACACATTGGCAGTTATTTATAAATTTATTTTTATTTTACTTATTAATTTTATTCATAGTTCTACAAAATAACAAAAGTGAATGAACTTTTAAAGTGACATAATAGAAATATCTGGTCAAATATAATAAAAAAACCGTGTTTGAAAGAAACCATATTTGTAATACCCTTTTGCGCTTAAAAATTCCTTAACGCTTTTGGGTTTTAAACCCATTTTTTAATTAAAAAAATCATCGCTTTTTTTTAAACAAAAAGGACAACATTCTTACGCAATAAACTGAAATTTTCGCCTTCTATTCGTGTTTTTTTTTTATTTTGACAGTTTTTTTCGGTAAAACTTACAACAATTCTGCCATTTATTAAACACCCTAATGTTGTCTTATAAATACTGAATAAAACGAGACAAATTTCATTAAAAAATTATGAAAATTGTTAAAGTTAGAACGTTTTTTCCAGTGTCTAAATGAAAGGAATAAGCTCAGTGTAATAAGCACTTAAACGTCACTTAAAAGTTCAGAATTACTGTTGCACTTTTTTTATTATTGTTAGAACACAATAGTTTGGTCTAAAAACCAAAGTTCGACTGGTAGTTGAATGGCCTACCGCCTTAGGGCCGTTGAGCCGCTTTATCTGACTTCCTCACCTGCCACAGGTGAAATGCGGCGGAGATGTCAGATTCCAGGTGGGTTAAGGGTTCAGATAAGCGATTTGGGCTTGGAACTTTCGGCTGTTTTGCAAACCATTTAGCAGGTCTTAATTCGGCTTTACGACTCTTCCTCTCGTTTTATTTTGGTTGAAACTCATTCATGCTCATGTTAACATGTATATATATTTTTTAAAAGATCGTTAAACCCGTGTCGTGTCGTGTGTATACTGATCTCGCGCCGACTTGTTACAAAAAGTTTATTGACAGGATTTACGTTTTAACGCAAACACATAATAATGTGTGCTGATTGTTGTTATGATTATCTCAACCCGAATGAAACGCAGCGGAATGGCAGTGTTCCGCGTATTTGCCCAAATAATCGACTGTTACTTCCAATCTAATTGCGAAATCACCTTGGAATTCATCCACAGTTCGTCAGTTGAGTATTTAAATGTTCCTGTAATTGATCCTGGCATGCGCACCATCACCGCCTCGTCAGAGTCCTCTCATTAACTCGGTCCTACCCTGCAATTATTATGTTAAAAGGCCACCTCTCAATCATCGCAATCCCTTCTAGACGACTCTACAGCAGTGTTCACGTTTTGAGGAAACCTTCAAACAGGTTACTCATCAAGAGCTCTGAATTCTTTGGGAAATAAGCATGACTTGACGGAATTCCCTTTCAGTATCGGTCATAGGCCTAGGAAGACTCTTTCTTCGGCTTCTAATCGAATTAGAATTTCATCAAAACTTGATGTGTTTTATGCTCGAAATTAAAACCAATTCACGCTGATCTACAAGAACGTTACTTCCCTGTGACGCGTTGAAAACTAAACCAGAATTTTGTGTATTTATTTAGAGAACTATTTCGTAAGTGCGACAAATTTTTGGGAATGCTAATTGCTGGACAGGTGTGTTGGAAAAAGCTTTATCAGCGGAGGTATTCCATGTTATCTTTTGTTAATATTTAAGTGGTTTTGGGTACAAGTTCTTCTAGAAAATATTATTTGGTATTGTTTATTGAAGCATATACATCAAAGTACATATTACATGACAGTATTTAAGTTATGAAATAATTGATTACCCCACTCTGAGTCCCACTCAGATGACCAGTGGTGTGCTGAATCTGGATCCCTGGGAAGATATCGGTTACTTTGAGCTCCTCCGGCCATGCTCGGCTGACTGCCCACTGCCTGGCTTTTATTTCCTGTTCTCGGGTCTGCAACTGTGAATCGAACTGTGCTTTTGGCCGCCAGTGATCGTAATAAAGCCACTTTGACGTCACTTGCTGCAATTCCAGTTTATTTATGAGCTGCCCCTCGAGTCGGTCCGGTCGAGGCTTCATCATCTTTCTCCATCGTCCAGCAATGACGCTGGCGAGTTTCACGGTCAAGTTCATCTGGCATCTCGCATTGTTGCGATGCTGTGGCTTTGTAATGGCTCCCGGTATAGAATTCCCAAGATGTAATCTCCAGAGTCTTCGGTCTTCAGTCTCTGGAAGCCTCGGAGCCTCAGTTGGATTTTGCGAATGGAAATCGCCTGAGCTCTTGTCGAGATGTGGTCGGATAAATCCGCTGTGTGCCTGCCGTGGAGCGGGAACGATAGTACCGCGATCCGATCAAGCCGTGTCAGTGATTACCAGCTGGTGGCTACATTTTGGCATCTCTACGAGGTGGATACGGTGTCCCAGCCAATCCTGGGCCTGCTGGCCGTTGTCTCTGCCATCTCGCTGTTTGTACGTACGGGAAAGTGTACAAATCCGAAACCAATACCGATTCCTCCGATTATGATTACGAACACACACGCATACCTTTCGGTCGCAGACTTTCACCAAAAAAAAAAAACATAAAAAACAGCAAAAAACAAAAAAAAAAACAAAAATCGAAAATGACGTTGCAACCTGCATTCGCTTCGCACAGAAAACCACATTTGACCAGTGCACATTAAAATTTTTTTTTTTTTAACTCAACCCGAAGCCAAAGTGAAATTTTCAGCGTTCGCTTTCATTAGAAATGCCCCCGGGACGGACATACCGGACGGTGGGGAGTGGCTGGCTGATTGGCTGTCTGGTTTTCGAACACGATTATGTAACACTTTCGAGGCGGGTTCTGTCAACGCTGTAGCCGAATTCGGGCGGAGTGGGAAATGCCTTTTAAATTGGCTCCCTCCAAGCCGGCCGAAAATCGAAACACGAAAACTTCATTAACGCCTGCCCGCTCTGGAGAGGCACGTCTCGGAATCGGAATCCGTATCTGGCTCCAGCCTCCAGAGCCCTGCCCAGACGAGCCCTGCATATGTAAACTAGTTTTTAATTATGAAACAATAACCAGGAAGCTGCGTAAGATGCGTTTCAACGTCTGTCTATAATCTCTTGATTTTATTTTCGTAAAAAATCTTTGTAATTGCCTCAATTTGTGGCCACAAGGGAAGCCCCAATGACATTGTTACCGAAGACTCTGTCACGATCTGGGTAATGATGCTTGTGGGGGGTTCTCGGACAGGGATTTCCTGAACTTGAATTATTCCATAACTTATGATTAGTAAACATGATGATAGTTACTGCTCTGGTTGTGATGATTCTGATGCCCTGCACTGGTTAATGACCTTTCAACTGTGTTGCAACCTCTGCCAGCCGGGAGTCTAGACTATTGCTGCCACAACTACGAACCTATACCAATATTTATTTGTCCTCAATGAGCATAGCACTTTGGCCAGACCCTGGATGGATCTCTGTAAGTCTTTTGTAAGCCCGTTGGGGCGATTCCAATTGCTGGCAATGAAAAGCAAAATGGAAACACAAACAAGACCCGAGGGCCGATCCAGACCTAGTCCACACACCAGTGACTAGTCCATTGTCGCACTTGGTGTGCTCTTTCTTTGGAAGCGGATCGTAATGATGATGATGATGTGTCTGATTATGCTGGGTAGCTGCAGGTCGATCATGTGTGTGTCCAATTGTTTGGCTTGGTAATTAGCATCGTCCATTGGGTCCACTCTGCTGCAGTCCATGGTAGTGGTGATGTTGCACTCACTGGTGGTGGCCCCTTATCCCCCCTCCATTACCAATTACCATTGGCCGCGACCTCAGCCAAGTTTGTAGTGGTTTTTTGTTGCTTTTGTGTGTTTATATGCCAGCCGTTGTTTCTCGATAAGCCACTTTCGAATGCAGAGCCAGCATTTGGCCAGCCAGCCAGCCAGCCCGACTTGGACCTGGTCTGTTTGGCCAGCCAATTCAGTTGCGTCGCCGAGCCCGAAGAGAAAACACCATACCTACTAGCCACCATCCAACCACCAGCTACCACCAGTTATCCAGTCAGTGCCACTTCCAATAACCACCGTGAAAGTAACCACCGGTGGCCGCTCAACGTCGCAGGTTATTGAAAAGGAAACTGCAATTTATTGCAAAATTATATGCACTTTTACTTGTTGTGGCCGTAGCCGCCAAAATTGCTTTACATAATTCCCCCACGGCGGACATGTACAAGCACACGGTCAAGTCGAAGCTGGCCCAGGTGCGGAGCACTCCTCCGGCTGAAGCCCAGCCAGCCACAAGTCCTCTATCCAAGCACGGACTGGGAGCTGGCAAGAAGTTCTTCTCACACATTCGTCACAAGATCGAGGACAATCTGACGCCGAAGCTGAGCGGAAAACTGTATTACAAAGGCAGCAAGCACAGCAGATCCATGAGTGCCCTGTCCACGGTGGATGGAGGATGTGTGGGCGGGAAGTACACACCCAAGGCAGTGGCCCTCAGTCCCAGCCCTCTGCAGATGCCCAGCAGTGTCCTGACCAGCAGCGTCTACAGCTACATAGATAGCGACGAGGAGAGCCAGCTGAGCCTCAGCCTCAGCCTGACACAGCAGTCCCTGGAGGACGAGATCTTTGCCGAGCTGGAAAAGGTGGCCCACGACGAGACCAAGCTGAACGAGGTGCTCCAGAGCTTCGACCATTTACTCAACGAATACCATCCTCCAGTCTCCGAGGAGCTACCTGCTCCGCCCGCCGAGTTTTGCGATCGCCAGCCCATGCTCTCCAAGTCTCACAGTACCCTGAGCATCAACAGGAATATAAGCCGCATGCAAGTGTACCAGTCCCCGGAGTTGGCAGGATCAGTGCTGCTGATGCGCGGAGGAGGAGCAGGAGCCGCAGGTGGCGGGGACTCCAGATACAACTCCTTAAACGACCTGAATGGCAGCAGGATTCCTCTTCGCAAGCAATCGAATCTCCGCAAGCGCAGCGAAAGCTTCTGTCTCGAGCAACCATTGCCAGTTAGAGCTCCTGTCAAGCAGCAAAGGACCCGATCCTTGTTGACACTCAACACCATAGCACGTGGAAGAACTCCAGCAGTCCAGCCTCCACCCTCAGCCGCAGTAACGATGCCCAAAAGAGCCAACTCCAGTCTGGAGAAGCGACTTACTCCGACAACAAAACAGACCCCCCGAAGAGCCAATTCCACAGTGAAGCCTGGGACGACAAAAGCCAAGTCACCCAATGCCCACAGCGATGAGCTGCTGGTCAAGTGCCTGGCCAAAGGGCAGGACATACTGCGCCAGGTGGAGAGCATGAATCCCAAGCCCAAGAGAAGCAGCAGTCGGGGTGTCACCAAGGAGTACTCCCAGATGGTGAGGAACAAAAAGAAGCTACAGAAACTGCAGTACGCCAACGAGGAGAAGGTTGGCCGGCCCAAGCTAGAGTCCTGCAAGATCATACCACCGAAGCTGGGCGAGACCTCGGACAAGAACCAGGAGCTTCTCGTCAAAGTGGTCCAGGAGGTCAAGGTGCAGAAACACCCACTGAAAAAGCCCACCAAGGAGATCCGAGCAGAGCAGGCGGAGGACTCCGACGACTCGGGTCACATTAGCAACACCCAGCTGTCCACCTCGACATCCACCAGCAACTCCACCGGAAGCCTCTGCGAGTCCGAGGGCGATGACTCCGCCGAAGAGCCACTGCCTCAGATCGAGAAGCCGTGTTGCAAGTCCAACAAAATCGCCGAGTTGCTGCAGAAATTTGAGGCAGCGGCTGCCAAAGAGAAGCCATCGCCGGCGCCGGTGGTGGCCAGTAAAGTGGTGGCCCAGGTGCAGGCGGTGCGTTGCATTCAGACCCAGGTGGAGATCTATCCCACCTACACGAAAGAGGTAACTATGCGGCTGCACTGACCTGGCCGAAGATCCTCCGCTTCCGATCCTCCCCAGCCCAGCCCAGCCCAGCAATCTTAACTCTCCGTATCTGCACTCTATACTTTTAAATCTTTTTTATTTTTTTCTCTAACTATCTAACTTTTACTGTAAATGGAATAAAAATATTTATTGTACAAAATATTATCCATGGTTTGTCTATTTTCCTGCCTATCCACTGCCTTTCCTTGCTTTGGTTTATCCTTCTAGGGTTTTAACAAATGTATGGTTAATGGAGCATGTTCTTGATTTTTAAAGGATATCTACCGAGGTATTATCTACTATCTTTCTAGGTATCTCTGCATAGGATCTGGTTGTTGTAAAAGATGTTTAATTTTTCCCAACTTCCCCCTAATATTTCTCTTGAACACTACCGCTCCTTGATTGGAAGTTATGGATATTTTTATTGCAGTTTTAAAATTCCAATTTTATCGCCAAATGCCAAACCCCTCACCAGCAAAACCAAGTGCATCTGGCCACCAATCATCCACTCATGGCTGATGACTGTGCCACACACACTGCCGGCACACACTCTCCCGAAAACAAACGACAGTTTAGTTTGCCATTTCACATTGGTTTACTTTCATTTTTGTCTACGTGCGGGGCATAATTAAAAATTTCGAGAAAATAGTTTCTCGACTTGGTTGCCAATTCGTCGCGTTGGCAAGACAGAGATGGATGGGGTGGAGCCACACCTTGGAGGTGCGTCGTCTTGGGGGCTAATTTGTATGGGAACCCAGTGCCTTGGCCCTCAATTTATGCCACAAACCTATGCATTTTCCACCTGCATGAACCGCCATTAGGAGGCCATACCCTCATACCCCTAGTTTTTTGCTTTTATGGCAATATCTTGTTTACAATTTCGTTTTCATTTTTATTTCCTCTTCTGGCTTTCACACCTGTAAGAGCTGGGCATCTCTGTTGGCCAAACAGGTGTTGTATTGGCTCATAATTTGCATTTCCCCCCTACGCTGCCTGTTTTTCCAATAATCTCCATACGCCGGGTCTGAGTTGAATAAGATCGGCACCTTGACCTCCACTTCCTCGAATTGATTTGATTTCGTTTTTTGGATCTCCTCTAAAGGGATTTTTGAAGTGCACCTGACACCTGAAGTTCACTTGAAGTACATCGTCTTTATAAGACTTTGTTAATTATCTTTTGTCTCAAATGATATAATAAGCAGGTGTTTTATTTGTCTATTTGGCAAATTACATCAAGAGTCTATACATCTTTTAATTAAACAACAAAAGAGTTGCTTGAAATAAACAAGAAACAGTATCTGTCTTTGATGAAATAATATTAAAAAACTCCTCCAAATGCTTTTCTTTCAGATCCTTTTCCGTTCTGGAGTTCTCAGCGAACTGGAAGCCAAGCGCGATGTCCTGCTCTCCGATCGAATCATACAGCTGCAGGCCTTCTGCCGGGGATATCTGGCCCGCAAAAAGATGTCCCAGCGTCGTGTGCAGGTAATCTATATCCATCACTCTGGTATTCCTTTATTAATCTTTGAAATGTCCTTAGGAACTGGCCGTTCGCTGCATTCAGCGCAATGTTAAGGCCTTCCTGGCCGTCCGCGACTGGCCCTGGTGGCGCCTCCTGGTCCGGGTCACGCCCCTCCTCAACGTCCACCGCACCGAGGAGCAACTGAAGACCGCCAACGAGGAGCTCCTCATGCTGCGCGCCAAGCTGGAGAAGATCGAATGCGATCGCAGCGAGGTCAAGGCGGAGAACCAAAAGTTGGAAGCCAAGGTGAGTCTTTCTGGTCTTTGATGGACAAGTGTCGGCAATTAAAATAGCGGCTCTTGACGGGAGTGACATGAAATATCATCTGCGCGATCTTGTTTGCGTTGGCACAGCTCTGATATCTGGGGCGCCGAGAATGATTTTACCATCGAAAGAATTCTTAATATATTTAGATGCAGGGGTATATTTTCATTCTTAATAGAATCTGAGAAACAAGACATCTTTTTAGGCCAAGAACAATAAATGTTTGTCTTTTGTGGTAAGTCAGGGGGCTTTTGTAGTGTCTAGGGAAATGGTTATAAATTGCAAAATAATAGCTATGCATTTGAAAAGGAAAGGATCATTATAACTCTAGATATCTATGAAGATTTCAGCTAATGGCTTCACCCATCATCTCCTCCTTGAATGAAAATAATGCAGATTTCGCCTGCAGACTTTCCGCTTTTCCGCTTTCATTTGTCTTGTTTGGTTTTTAAAGTGGCCCAAAAATAGCATTTTGGGCATTGAACACCAACTGACTCTGACTCGGAGAGTAGAATATCTGTTCTGGTGGAGATGGATGGGCATGGGATGTGGATATGGCTGTGGATGTGGATGTTTCGCACATGTCGCCGCACACTAGAATAGCCCCAGATGTATTTTTAAATGCTCTAAAAGATCATTAATAATACTTTGTCGCGCCACAGTCGAGTTGCAGCTGGGGATCGGAATCGGATTCAATACGATCTGATGCTGCGATTTACATAATTCCCTCAAAGATTGCCAAATTATTGGATCAACAGTTGGCCGAAATCAACAGGCAACCCGGTCGACTGCGACCATAGATTATGTGATAGGCGGAACTATTCCGCTGATGTTGCAATTGATGGCGCCCCTCTCTCTGTGTGATTTATACTGGCTCTCCTCGAACAGATCTCTCCGGGGATTGGTTTGCCAAAAAGTAGCGAGCAGTGAGCTTTTCATATTGGCCAGGCCAGGCCAGAACCGAAAACCGAAAACCGTACGCATCACTTAGTCGCCGAGCAAACGTCGTGAACGCCTGAGGCCCGTGGCGCCGCAATCCGGGAGATTCGATGTGATCCGATTTCGAGTCCGAGTGCGAGTCTGACCGATCTGATCCGTCTAGATACGATTCGTTTCCTTGGCGTGTGCGTGTGCTTTGGCCAGATCGTTGCCAAAAGCCATAAAACCTCCTCGAGGAAAACAAAAGGAATACCTATCCGGCTGGCAATCCGATGCGCGCGCGTGCTCAGGCCGAAATAAATCCAACAACAAGTCGCACGAAAATTCAGACCGAGATATATTTAAATTGCATCAACGGTCTCAAGTTTTTGACAGCCCCTCCCCGCACCCCGCACCACCCTAGCATAAGTCACACAAAAAATAACAAATAGGAAAATTTTTAAACAAAACTCGATTGAAAATAAACGAAAAACGACCAAACGACACAAAAATTTCGAAAACGACACAATATTGGCCAAAGAAACTTGCACAGAAACAAACCTGGCAGAGCCACCAACCTCCACAATCCCTCAGAGAATCTCTAACCCCCTCTCGATCCCTGCTTGCCACTAATCCGAACCCGAATGCCTCCTCTGTCGCCTGCTAACGAGGCCACTGCTGACATTGCAGCTTCTGGAGATGCCACCCCGGATGCCGGGCCTCTAGAGTCGGACCGATTGGAGAAGGAGAAGTTCCTGGCCCGCGTCCTGGCAGCCATGAATGGCGGACCCAGGCTGGGGGCCACTGCCTCCAGCAACAGCAGTGGCTCCTCCCTGAACTCCACGATGAGTGGCAGTGCAAGGCCACCCAAGCCCCCCACTAGTCAGGCGCGGAAGCAGCTCCGCCTGCTGCCCAAGCAGCGGGAGCAGAGCCCGGTTCAGTCCCTGACCAATGGACACCACAACACCACCACCACACGATCCACATACACAGGCAACAAGTACACTTCCAAAACGTCGAGTGGCAGCGGAGGCATCTCGTCGCTTTCGGGTAATGACAAGGATAAGGCGGACGGAGAGCCCGAAAGTCTGTACGAGATCTCGCTGAAACTGCCACTCAATTCGCCCACAGGAACGGACAGCGATCGCCTGCGTTTGGTTAACCGCTCGCCTAGTCCCGCCTACTCAGTGTCCTCGCGCTGCTCCACGCTCTCCTCGATCTCCACCTCCAATTCGCGCCTGCAGACCCCACCGCGGAGGGTATTCCCCCAGACCTACACACGCGGCTCGGGCCTGGACCCGTACGAGATGCACCAGCTGGAGAACTCGCCCGTGGTCTTCGACGGCAATCTGTCCTTCGTGTTGGGCTGCCAGCGCCAGCCGGTCCACCAGTCAATGAGGGCCTCACCCTCCTTCGAGGATCCGCGCACCTCGTCCGCCTATCTCAGTGAAAAGATCCAGAACTTCCTGAAGCGCACGGATCACGTGCAGGAGGAGTGGACAGCCATGGGCAGGCGGACGAAGAGAACCACTAGCTCGGCAAGTGGACGGGACAGTCGCTGCACCACTCCCGGAAGCAGCTGCTCCGGCTACGACGACTACGACACCATATCCCTGATCGAACGTCAGCGCGAGCGAAACAGCATGGAGCGCTGCGGATCGGTGGGTCGCACTCGATCCTCGCAGAACATCCTGACGAAGGCCTTCCAGTTGGCCAAGCAACTGCCCAGACAGTCCACGTCCCGGGGCAATTCGGTGGCCAGGGAGCGGGAGTCGTCGGTCGCGACCACCACCAGCCTGACCAACGGGAACCGCGATGACGACGACGATGATCGCACCATCCGCGAGGAGGACGATGAGGTATAACCTTGAGCTTGTGTCTGACACAGTTCGATATAAAGTGCGGGTGATGATGTCTCCTCCCCATAAATATTAAATTCCTAAACAAACAAGAAGAGCTACCACGCTGACATTGACAGCGGGGGAAGATTCTCCGCCCACTGCCTCCCCCACACCTGAGTCTATTTTTGTTGAAAAAAAAAATAGAAAACGAATAATGCGTGAATCACAAGATGGAATTTGTGGGGGGAATATTCCATATTCCATATTCCATACTTATATCCATAATTTCTGTTTTCATGGAAAGAAATATATCAAAAGATTCAACCGAAAATAAGTTTCTGGAAAGATTTCTTTATGAGGACAGTGAACCGACCTTCCCTTAATGATCGAGTCACTTTTAATTTGTGTCACGGCTGTAAGATTGAATGGAACCTGTACTCGCCCGACACTCATTCTTTGATCTGTTCCTAAGTAAATGATCCTCGGAATGAGTAATTTTTTCGCAGTATTATGTGATCTTTAGTCCATTTTTCTTTTCCGATTTGTTTGTGTGTTTTCTATAAATTCCTACAATTCTATTATATACGACGTCATAGGAAATGGAAATAGTACAGCTATCAGAGCTTGTTTTTGGTTAAAATATGTATTATTAAATATGTATTATTTTGATTTATTTTTTTATGAATTTGGAATATAGTTTGGAGGCATCTGGGGCAATATACTTTTATAGCAGACAATTAAATTATGAGAATATTTTTAATCGTTTGTGAATCATTTTAAATGTTATGGCCGAAAGTCATCTGGCAGCCATAATTTTTTGTAATTTAGTTAGCCAATAATTAATAAAATAATTGTGCAATTTTTGGAATTGGTATGTGAATCAGTTGGAATTAAAATTGTAATTTCTGTTCTATATTTATAGGAAAAAATAAATATATTTTACTTAAAATTATGATATTCAAGCTCTGCCAGCTTTGCAGGAAATATCTTTCAGCGGAAGTATTGTTCTGATTTCTTGGAATGGTACTTCCTCTTTCTACTTTCCTAGGTCAAGGTTACAAGTTTATTCAGATTCAGGTCTCTAGAACTCTCCGGCACTTGCAGGATTGGCTTTTTCCAAACAAATATCTCAATTATTCAGACACATGGCAGGCAGGCATAGAAAAGAATCGCAAAAAAAGATAAATAAACAATCATATAAAATGAACATAAATACTCTGGGAAACTGGAGCAGAAATGAGAATGTTTGTACTAAAAATCGAAACCCGCCTCCAATCTTTCCAGCTATCCGAACTGACGGTGGACCTGGCCGAGGAGCGCTCCACGGCGCACATCGCCACCGAGCGGCTGGAGGCGGAGACCGCCGAACGCCTGAAGCTGGAGAAGGAGCTGGGCGACCAGGCCAACAAGGTGAAGAACCTCCAGGAGACCACAGAGAAACTGGAAATGGAACTGATATGCGCCAAGTCCGATTTGAATGGTATCTCCGAGGACGAGGATGCGGAGAACGAGGACGGCGGCGTGGGTGGCGGCGTCTACAAGCTCAAGTACGAGCGGGTGGCCCGGGAGCTGGAGTTCACCAAACGGCGTCTGCATACGCAGCACGAGCACGATCTGGAACAGCTGGTCGGGCTCAAGAAGCAATTGGAGAAGAAGGTATGTTCCCTCAGTCCATAGCCTCTATTCGATCCTTAATGACCTCCCTTTTTGAAACAGCTTTCCGATGCCTACGAAGAAGTTGAGGAGCAACGTCAAGTTGTGGGCCAATGGAAGCGCAAGGCTCAGAAGATGACCAACGAGATGAACGATCTGCGCATGCTGCTCGAGGAGCAAAATGCCCGAAACAATTTGCTCGAGAAGAAGCAGCGCAAGTTCGATGCCGAGTGCCAGTCCCTGCAGGATGCGGCTCGCCAGGAGCGCCAGGCCAAGGAGCGCTACGGCCGCGAGAAGGATGTCCTGCAGGCCGAAAAGTTTACGCTGGAGCAGACCCTAGCGGTGAGTTGGGATTAATTGGGAGACAATAAGCTTAGGATTGGGCGAGGGTCCATAGTCTAAGCTTGGCAACATTTCTTAGGCGGGTTGAAGCCTAGCAACATGTTTGTCAACACAAAGCAACATGCTTTGTAGGGTCACTAGCAACATGTAGCTTCAAATACAGTGGGATGTGGAAAATAATGGGAATATAAATGCAATAAACCACAAATCTTACTTCTATATTATATCTTTATAAAAATATCATTAATTCTTGGTTTTTTATTGAACATATCATAATCATAATAATTATGTTTTGAAAATAATATTCATAGACCAATAAGGCAAGACCTAAGTCCTTAAATCCCCTGAACTATATATACCTTCCATATTTTTAATCACAAAATATTCTATTAAGATTGTGCAGGTCAGGGCGTGGGCATTGGCCATCGATAAACACTTGTTGCACAGTGTTGGAACAAGTGGCGGCACGTTGCGCACATTGCAACCGAGATACAGATACAGATACTGCATATCTCGGAGCCCCGAAACTCGTTCGGCTTGTTTGCCCATGCAGTGGAATACCTATGCCCGCTGCCTGACGGCCTGCCTGCCTGACTGGCTGGCTGGCTACCTGCCCACACCGAGCATTCGACACATGTACGCATGTGCGGCATGTGTTCCAATCCCAGATCTTCTTTCCTCGAGTATTCCGTTCTGGGTTCTTCTTGGGGTTTCATGTTTTTATCGGCCTGTACTCTAGGCTCTCGCTTGCTCGCTCTCTCCCGATCCATCTCTGCAGCCCTCTCGCTCTGTATCTGTATCTTTTGGTCACACATTTGTGGATCTTCGCTTTGCTGCTTTCTTCATTGTTCCGCTCGACAGTAGACAGTAGCTCGACGACCGTCAACGGGCGATAACTGGAGTACATAGTCTGTCCCAGTGTCTCTGCGATTGTTCGCTCCGCCTGGCAAAAAGAAATTAAAACGTCGACGCCGTTCTCATTACGCTTTCGATACTCATAATTAGCTGGAAGAGGAAGAGCCTCCATGGAGGGCGATAACTGAACTGAACTGGCCACTGCGATTTAGATACCATAAACCCGGGACCAGAGCAGCACACCACCGACTACTCCCATACGTTCATACAGTTCCCAGGCCAAGTACAGCCCAGCCATGAGTTTCCGTTACTCGACTCGGTTGATTCAAGTGAGTTCAAGTGGGTTCCAAGCTTTAGAGTCTAGTCTAAACTCCAGAAAAGTAGAGTCCATTAAAAGCAGAAGAACTAGACAGACCGTAGAAAGGGGTAATAAATTAGAAGACCTCTGAAAAGTCTAGAAATTGTAATCAGGAACTCGGTGAAATGGCTTGTATAATAAGAAAGTCCATATAACATTATAAAATCCTTTCTTTACAGGACACCCGCTTGGATCTGGACCTTAAAGAAGAAAAACTAGCTTCGCTACAACGCGAACTGGAGGAAATGACCTTTGGCGGCGGAACTGAAGAAGAGTTCGCCCAACTGCGGCGCTCTAAGAACGAAACAGAACGCCGAGCCAAGGAGCAGGAGGAGGAACTAGATGAGATGGCCGGGCAGATACAACTGCTGGAGCAGGCCAAACTCCGTCTGGAGATGACACTGGAGACCATGCGCAAAGAGGCACGCCGCGAATCCCAGCAGCGAGATGAGGAGCTGGAAGAAGTTCGCGGCAATGGCTACAAGAAGATCAAGGCTTTAGAGTGCCAGTTGGAGACGGAGCATGAGGAGCGAACATTGTTGCTTCGTGAGAAGCATGAGCTGGAGCGACGCCTATCCTCCATGGAGGATCGCGATCGCGTTGACCGCGACGCCGAGGAGGCAATGAACCAGAAGCTGCGTCGTGATCTCCGCAAATACAAGGCCCTGCTCAAGGATGCCCAGACACAGCTGGAGCGGCTCAAGGCGGACACACCGGGCAAGACACTCATCCGCCAGCTGCGCAATCAGCTGGAAGACGCCGAATCCGCTCGATCCCTGGCCATGAAGGCCCGCCAAACAGCCGAAGCGGAACTTACCGAGGTCCAGGCCATGTTCGAGGAGTCACATCGCGCCCGGAACGATGCCGAGGAGCGAGCCAATGCGGCCCACAGGGATCGCGCCGAGCTGCAGGCTCAAATCGAGGAGAACGAGGAGGAGCTAAGCGAGCTGATGAAGAAGTACAGTGCCACCGTCAAGCAGCTGAATACCGAGCAAATAAATGTTTCCGAGGCCGAGTTCAAGCTCAACGAAATGGAGGCCGAACGGAACAATCTCAAGGAGCAGGTTGCTGAGCTGCAGCACCGCCTGGATAATGTGGAAAATATGGGCGATCCATCCATGGCCATGATGTCGAAGAGGTAAGGAACTGACATTATACATGTCTATAGATTTCCAAACGAATTCCAAATATTTATAGATTGGAGCTGCGCACCAAGGAGCTGGAATCCCGGCTGGAATTGGAGCAGGCCACTCGGGCGCGTCTGGAAGTACAGGTGACCCGTCACAAGGAGGCCCTGGAGAAGCTGCAGAATGAGGTGACGCAGTCAAAGATGCGTGAAATGCAGGCCCAGGATGTGCTCAAGAAGTCGCAAAAGAGTCTGCGCGATATGCGTGAGGAGTACCACACAGTGTCCAGTCGCGAGCAGGAGTCCCTGACGCGGCGCAAGGACCTCGAAAAGAAGATGGAGCAAATGGAGTCTGAGGGGGCGGCCCTGAAGAACGACCTCCGGCTGGCACTGCAGCGGATAGCCGATCTGCAACAGGCCATGGAGGAGGAGGGCGAAGAGGAACTAAGCGAAAGGTATGTGAAATTAAGAAGCAAACCATTAGAAGATTATTAAATATATTTTCTTCTCCTTTCAGTGACGAGAGCATCAGCTCTGTGGGCTCCATCAGCGACCTCGAGGAGCGCCTGCGACCCGTGCACGTGAAACGCAGCTCGCAGCAGTCGCTGAATGGAAGCATCGGTGGTGGTGGAGGCGGCGGCACTGTTGTCAGCACCACTCGCACCGTGGTCTATGAAAAGGACGACAACAGCCCTAGGTACGCTGATAACGAAGTCAACTCGAACAGCAGACAGCAGCACAAGCATTAAGGCCCAAGCACACCCAAACATTATCCGCCTCTTAATATGCCTATCGCTAGTTAGCTAGTCTGTAAGGTCTGTTTGCTATTGCCGGCTTATCTAATTTAAATAATTAAATCATACATGCAAACCATCCGCCACAATCCACATCCACAAATGACCCCAAAACCGAAATAACGAAATACCAACGCTGCAACCGACACCAACGCTGCATCGCTTCCAACAACGTCTCCTGCCATTTAAAACAAACTCATAAAAAAAAAAAAAACCAAACCAAACACCCCTAAAAACGAAAACAAACGATGCGTGTAAATATATGTTAATGCCTATGTGACAAAAACAACAACAAAAATGAACCAAAACACACGAAAAATCCTCGCTCCCGCCCTAATCCGCTCCGCTCCGCCATGACCCCGTCCTCCGTATGGATCCTTTCGGAATCCCCCTCCGCATGTGTGTGTGCGTGTAAACCATTAGCTTTTTCTTATTGTAGAATAACAGTGACGTCGCCATCGTCGCCGCACATTCATAAGCTGGCACTGGCGGCCAAAGCCATACCGGACCCAGAGCCGGACACAAAAACTGCAGCTGCAGCGGAATCAGCATCAGCACCAGCGACCAGGATGGGATCAGTAGCAGGATCACTATCAGTGCCAGCGGCGGGTCAGCCGTAGAGATCCATCCATGTTGCAGCTCTTGTACTTTGTAATTTTTTTTATTATTTGAATATTTATTAGTTGTTTATCATTATTATTTGATTACTGTTTAGTTCAATATGTTTAATTATTTATTATCGGAATATAGCTACATGATATATAATATATATGATAAAATATGATTCGAACCCAATACGCATTCGATAGCAATGCTGAATCGTAGTTAATTTAATTTGCGCGACAGTCCCTAAACAAAGTGATTAACATGTTTTTATCTCTCTCAAAAACAGACAAGAAAAAAAGAAAAGGAAAAACGATTACTAACACCTATAGCCTATATAGAATATAGTCCATTGTCCTATAGCCAACTTAAATAAATTAGTTAAACGCGTTTCAAAATCATAGGCAAGTATATGCGAGTGCAGTAAATTCAATGTTTTACGGATTTAAATCCCACATAATCGAGTATTTTATGAAGTAACTCTTATTCTTATACGAATCTTATCATCCAAATCGTAACATCATCAATTAAACGGCAACTAGCTTCATTCATTCACTCATCATCATCGTATATACGGAAAATTATAAATCCCAATAAGTAAAGAAACCACAATATATATTGGCATACAAAATTTTGCAGATATCGTACAATAAAGGGAACGATTTATTAAAATACTTATAGAAAACTAACAAATCGAAGATCCACAAATAAATATATTGTTATAAAACTCAAAAACGTTTTTTTTATTTTTGGGAAATGGTTCTAAACTTAGGTTTGTTGAGTGAAAGTCATGTATGTTATAAAATTTATAATAACATGTGTCTGTTAGGATTGGCCATTAAAATACCAAACAAGCATAAAATTAGGTATTTGATAGGTTTTTTTTTACAATATCCCCACTTTCTTTTCTGAGCTCCTGGTAAGAATGAGTATTTTTCATAAACCTTTTTCCTGCCAATTGCTTTTTACATAATGTGCCTATTGACCAACATTTAAATGGCGTTTTTACGAAGCATGCTTTGTCAAAGTATACTTTTGGGTCAAATTACACCGTCAAGACATTGTAAAGTTTGTGTAGATTCTACACTGTAGAATGTTGGAAAGTATTTGTATTTTGCGGGATATATTTTCTTTTTCAATCCCGTAGTGAAGCTTATTTAAAAAAAACTAGACCCTAGTCTAATGGTATTTTGTCCAAATCTTGTATTTTCGAAGTTACCCGCCTTCATTTAGGTCAGAAAATTATCCATAACTTAGCTAATACTCGTCAGATTGACAAATTTTATAACTCCCCGGTCTCTTTATAACTCTTCTAGTACTAATGTAAACCAGGCCACCTAAAATTGTACCCAATTTTCACAAAAAAGTGGCTCAAAAGTATGAACTTTGACAGTTCATGAGCTTAAAATGGTCGATAAGCCTTTTCGCCTTCTTTTATGACCAGTATTATGACCAATGTTGAATATGCTGAAATATTTTGACAATTTCCAAACAGCGATTTGGTATTTGGTATTTTCGCATTTTTTTTATTTAGAAAAGTTTTGATTTAAACTTTAAACTAAGAAAACAATCGATGAATCAAAAATATACCTATTAATGATATATAATAAATCTATATCTAAAAATCAATTCGATTTTTGTAGAATTCCTTGGATTATAATTTTCTAAATATAATCCCCCATTTGGAATACGAAATCGCGGAACCTCAGAAAAGTTTCTGTAAGCAAACATTCCCAATCAAAGTTCCCCAAGTTCGAACTAGTAATCTCCAAATCTCGCTCTTGCTTTCGTTTAATGGGAAATCATCAAAAGTCAGTTCCTAAAAATGGCACAAAAGCAGCTAAGGTCCTGGCCCAAAACAGAACTTCCGGCCAAGAAGTAAGCCAACTCTTAAGCTCCCCCAACCAGATTGATTTATTTATGCAAACACGCACGTCGCTAGGTCGAGGTCAGATGTGTAAGGATATACCCACTCCCGGCCCCAGATCAGGGGCTAGAAATCCAGCACCCACTTACCCTCAATCTGCAGCCGAAAAGCCATTATATGCCACTCGTTCGGCAGTCGCCATTCCAGGTGACTTTGAAAGTTGTAAAGCGGCAAAGTAGCGGAGCAACCATAGGAATCCCACGCCCACACCTGCGATCCCGGTATCCCCAACGGGACACGAATGAAAGCCTGACACGCAAGTGGCCCGGTCCCGAGCACTTGAAAACACTTGTTGTATGTCAAAGCCGGAGGCCCAGACATCAATCAGTCGTCTGACGTCCATAAAACGGAGCACGATGGCTTTCCAATCACTAAAGCCCCGGGCGGAGCAACAGGTGTTGCCCGGGGAAACTCCGACCAGAACTCATCCTCTAGATGGGAGTCGGGAGGCCACTGCCGTGCCCTGTCAGTCGAGCTGAACTCAAAAACAACCGTCAACTAGGCGACTGTCAAATGCGCCACGTATCCGGATTATCGATCAAACAGCGGCAGCGACTTTATGCCACTTTCTGGGTCTCCGTTTCGTCGCAGACACATATTGGATTTCAAAGTCTGCGGAACGGAATCTCAGAAGCGCTGCAATTGCGGCATTCTTGGTAGCTATTAGCCAAAAGGTTATCTCCAGCAGAGGACAACCATGGATGACCGCACCATTGACTCGATTTTCCTGGGCTCCCTGGAGTCCCTGCCGCCGGTTAGCTCGAAAATCGTGCGCATCTTCACCAGCTCCACATTTACGGGTGCGTTGAAAATATCCCTTTGAAAAACCACACCTCATGTGTGGGCGCTGTCTTTGAGGTGCAATGTGTACGACGCGTTATGTAACTCGGGTTTTCGCTTAGATACCACCATGGAGCGTAACACACTGATGGCCAAGTGCTATCCGCGCATCAAGGACTACTGCCGGGAGAAGCACGGCCTCGAGTTTCAGGTGGTGGACATGCGTTGGGGAGTGCGTGACGAGGCCACCGACGATCACATGACCACGGAGCTCTGCATGCGGGAGATCAAAAATTGTCAGCGTCTTTCGATGGGCCCCAACTTTATTGTGTTTCTCGGCCAGAAGTATGGATACCGACCCATACCCACGTACATTGTGTCCTCGGAACTGGCGCTCATCTGCGAGGAGCTGACTTCGATGGGGGTGGACCGGGCCCTGCTGGATTTGTGGTACAAAAAGGACAGCAATGCCGTGCCTCCCATATCGGTGCTGCAACCTATTTCTTCCATTTTGATTAATTTCAACAATAAGGTAAGGTTTTGGAAGGATTTTCATGAGAAAAGTGAAGTGCAAAAAAACAAACTAAAAACATACTGCTAAAAAACCTAAGTTGAAAGGAAAGCTAACTTCAGGCCTTTCCTTAAAAATGGGGTTTTCCCTTGTAGTGTCCACAGTGATGACCATATCTTCTCGAATTCTGATCAGATTCTCAAGCGGAGTATCTTAAACGATTTCTGGATCGATTCTCCACCATTCTGCATCAAAATCCCGAGTCAAAATATTTTTTAGATTTTTTGTCCATTTTTCGTGATGGGATCCCTTTAAAACGGGGTTTTCCCCTATAGTGTCCACAGTGATGACCATATCTTTCCCAATTCTGATCGGATTCTCAAGCGAAATACATTAAACGATTTCTGGATCGATTCTCCACCATTCTGCATCAAAATCCCGAGACAAAATATTTTTTAGATTTTTTGTCCATTTTTCGTGATGGGATCCCTTGAAAATGGGGTTTTCCCCTATAGAGTCCTCAGTGATGACCATATCTTTCCCAATTTTGATCGGATTCTCAAGCGAATTACATTATACGATTTCTGGATCGATTCTCCACCATTCTGCATCAAAATCCTGAGACAAAATATTTTTTAGATTTTTTGTCCATTTTTCGTGATGGGATCCCTTGAAAATGGGGTTTTCCCCTATAGAGTCCTCAGTGATGACCATATCTTTCCCAATTTTGATCGGATTCTCAAGCGAATTACATTAAACGATTTCTGGATCGATTCTCCACCATTCTGCATAAAAATCCCGAGACAAAATATTTTTTAGATTTTTTGTCCATTTTTCGTGATGGGACCCCTTGAAAATGGGGTTTTCCCCTATAGAGTCCTCAGTGATGACCATATCTTTCCCAATTCTGATCGGATTCTCAAGCGAAATACATTAAACGATTTCTGGATCGATTCTCCACCATTCTGCATCAAAATCCTGAGACAATATATTGTTTAGATTTTTTGTCCATTTTTCGTGATGGGATCCCTTTAAAACGGGGTTTTCCCCTATAGTGTCCACAGTGATGACCATATCTTTCCCAATTCTGATCGGATTCTCAAGCGAAATACATTAAACGATTTCTGGATCGATTCTCCACCATTCTGCATCAAAATCCCGAGACAAAATATTTTTTAGATTTTTTGTCCATTTTTCGTGATGGGATCCCTTGAAAATGGGGTTTTCCCCTATAGAGTCCTCAGTGATGACCATATCTTTCCCAATTCTGATCGGATTCTCAAGCGGAGTATCTTAAACGATTTCTGGATCGATTCTCCACCATTCTGCTTCAAAATCCTGAGACAAAATATTTTTTAGATTTTTTGTCCATTTTTCGTGATGGGATCCCTTGAAAATGGGGTTTTCCCCTATAGTGTCCACAGTGATGACCATATCGTCCCCAATTCTGATCGGATTCTCAAGCGGAGTATCTTAAACGATTTATGGATCGATTCTCCACCATTCTGCATCAAAATCCTGAGACAAAATATTTTTTAGATTTTTTGTCCATTTTTCGTGATGGGATCCCTTGAAAATGGGGTTTTCCCCTATAGTGTCCACAGTGATGACCATATCGTCCCCAATTCTGATCGGATTCTCAAGCGGAGTATCTTAAACGATTTATGGATCGATTCTCCACCATTCTGCATAAAAATCCCGAGACAAATATTTTTTAGATTTTTTGTCCATTTTTCGTGATCCCTTGAAAATGGGGTTTTCCCCTATAGTGTCCACAGTGATGACCATATCTTTCCCAATTCTGATCGGATTCTCAAGCGGAGAATCTTAAACGATTTCTGGATCGATTCCCATTCTGCATCAAAATCCTGAGACAAAATATTTTTTTAGATTTTTTGTCCATTTTTTGTCATAAGCACACTTATAACCAAAATTATAAAACCCTCTGCAAGGGTATAAAAATTAAGTATCAAATATTACTCGGTGACTAATAATGTTAGTACTAATAATGTTGACTAATTTTTACTAATGTTTCCAGTAATTTAATGAAGTGCATGTTTTGTGAATAATATTAACGTATTTAGTAATGTTTAAAACATTTTGTCCAGTTGTTGCTCTGGTGTACGAAATTCATATCCATAAGAATCCCTATGGGTTTTATGGGAGCTAAGTCTTACTATTGGCTCCTTCCTTTTACAGAGAGTACCCAAGCTCCAGGCGGAGGACCAGGCAGTGTGGTGGGACACCCTCAACAAAATGCAAAAGCTCCTGCGCAAGGCGGCTGCCTCGCTCGGAGCCAGCAACAAGATGTCCAAGGACGACGTACACAACTATTTCATGTCGGGTGAGCTCGTAGCTTTTTCAATTAAGTAGTGCATGTAGTGATAGCTAAACAAAAAAACAAAACCCAAAATTCTAAACCGCGTTTAGTGACCGAGCGGGAGGTGATCAATGGAATCTTGAATGTGAAGAACACAAAGAATCACTGTCTGGCATATGTGCGGTACATCAACAACA